TCCCTCCCTCCCTCTTTCTTTCTTTCTTTCTTTCTTTCTTTCTTTCTTTCTTTCTTTTTTTCTTTCTTTCTTCCTTTCAGACAGGGTCTCATGCAGTCCAGTCTGGCTCTAAAATTTCTAAGTAGCAGAAGATTACCTTGATCATCTGGCCTTCCTGCCTCCACTTCCCAAGTGCTAAGATTACAAGCATTTGCCACTGTCACCAGATCTTGTTGACTTTCCTATGTGCTTAATGACTAAACTGTTTTCTCCATAGATACCAACTCCAAGATAATTGGTCAGTATTTTTTACATCATCATTCTAAATATACACATATGTGGTGTGTGTGTGTTTCCTTTCTTCATCCTTCTTTTCCATCCTCTTGCCAAAGTGGTCCTTCTGTGTTCATTCTCATATTAAGTTATATTTTCTTTTCATGAGTGTATGTATGTGCTTGTGGTATGCAGGCATGTTTGCATGTGTGTGGCTGTACTTCCCTTTGCAGGATCCTGTATTTGTGTGTCTTTGTGGAGGTTGGAGGCTGATGTTAAATGTCTTCCCCAGTTGCTCCCTTCCTTGTGTATTGAGTCAGGATCTCTTACTAAATCCCAAAGCTTGCTATTTTGGCTACTCTGGCTAGTCAGCTTGCTTCAGGAATTTCCTGTCTCTACTCCCTGAGGCTGGGATTGCAGGCAGGGTACTGTGCCCACATGGCTTTTACATGGGTTCTGGGTATATGAACTCTGATGCTCATGCTTTTGTTACAAACATTGTACCTGTTGAGCCATCTTCCCAGCTGGTATTTTCTTAATTTACTATATTTTAAGTGTTACACTACTAAGTAGTTCCTTTCACTATTGTATGATGATGTACCATAAGTACATTCTCAAAACCCCTAGGGATGGTTAATTAATCCTTATTTGACAGACTCTAAAATCACCTAGAAGATATCTCTAGGAGTATTTGTCTGCAAGGGCATTTCCAAACAGATTTAACAGAAGAGGGAGATCTGCCTGGTCTACATAGTGAGTTCTAGGACAGTCAGAGGTATGTAGTTGTTCCCTGTCTTGAGAAAAGGAAAAGGAAAAGGAAAAGGAAAAGGAAAAGGAAAAGGAAAA